CCCCCCCCCCCCCCCCCCCCCGCAACAATCCTTTAACACACGTCTGCAGCAGAGCATGCAACCAGAAACCACTCCACGCTGATAACCCCCCCAAAGAGTCTGATCCACACACACACACACGACGCCCATGACCATACCCACCTTCTTCTACAGGCACGACACGAACACACACACAGGAGAAATGCAACAAGAGTCAATATCTGGGACAGGAGTCCAGCAACACAAGTGGTATTTTTGTTTCACCAACTTTAAGGAGCGTTACCTCTTTGAAGCCTCGGTTCTTGATGTTGAGCTTCTTGGCATTAACAAAGTCAAACAGTTTGCCGTATTCTTCCCTGAAAAAAGAGATGAGTAAAAATGATTTTTATCAAATGAATCCACAGGTTTGAGTTAGAAGATGAAATAATAAAGTCTGAAAACTTAATGGACAGGAAGACTTTTAGTGCTTAATGTTGGATCAATATTGATCAAATAAGAAGGAAATCCAGATAAATTGAGAAGTTAAAGAAGAGAAACTTTCAACAGGAACATGAATGAAAACCTGGATTATTTTGGAATATGATGGATATATTCATGTTAAATCCCTCCTCGACGTGTCCGTGTGAGGCGGCCTCACCTCTCGATGCTGCTGAACGTGTACTGGTTGCCCTGCTTCGTCTCGATCTCGAAGTCAAAGGACCGGGTTGTGGTGGTGCCTCGGGCGAAGTTCACGCAGGAGATCTCCTCGAAGCGCAGGTGAACGGGGGGCTTGTGGACGTAGATGAAGCCCCTCTCCAGAGGATAGAGGAGGCCTGAAGACGCCTTGTAGGAGCAGGTGATGCACTGCGCCCCGGAGTGGCTGAGCAGGCGAGACAGTGTGAGTAAAGGAGCAGGTGTTTCTGGGGTTTCTTAAAGCTGAGACGCTTACCCCTGGAAGTTCCCGGGTACGGTAATCTTGCGGTTGACCAGGGCTTTCATCACTCTGCTGACCATCTCGTAAAGAGACCCGGACATGTTTTTACTGAGTTTGCCCTCAAAACGACGCTCCACATCCTCCCTGTTACAGAAACACAACGATTTAGGATCCTAAATGTACCACGACTGTAGGGTTTGTGAGATCTTTATAGAGATTTGGTTCCCTCTAGTGGACATTACCAAAAACAGCAATGTGGTTTTAATGTTTTATCCAAATCTAAAATTTACAACAGCCTCCCTCGTTTTTGGTACATACTCGCTCATGTTGAGCGTGAGGCTGATGTCCTCTTCTTTGGAGAAGAGCAGAATGAGGAAGTGATAACGGGTCTGACCCTGTTTGATGGGGGGATCCAAACTAATCTGTGATGGACACACACACACACACAAAAAAGAAAGAAAGAAAGAAAGAGGAAGTTAGAAATGTCAGAGAGGAATGAGAAAAGCCAGACCACTGTCAAAAACCGGCTATGAAAACAGCCCAGCAGGTGTTGACTCACCACAAAGAACATCTGTCTCTGGTCCTTGTGAGGCAGCAGGAAGAGACGGAGGACGGTGGTGTAGGGGATTTTGTAGTCGAAGGTCTTACCGTGCAGGTGAAGGAACGTTGGGTAGATACGAATGTCATACCTGGAGGAGGAAGACAAAAGGACGACCGAGTCATGTGATCAAACTGGAATTCCTCCATTTGAAGTTCATTTAGTGTTAAATTGTAATCTTTGGATTATCTGTAGTTCTGGCTGCATAACCAACCCATAATATTCACATAAACACCTTTTTATTTTGTATTTTATGTGCAAACCTCCTTAAAATAAAACTTAAGAAGAAACCCACTATTCCTCTGATGAGTTTTTTATTTGCTCAAGTAAACCTGGGAACTGCATCTTTAAAGCTAACCCTGGCTTTTGTTAAGATGGGACTACAAAGTAAGAAGCACCAACCTAACACAATTTCATAACTTTGAGAGCGACCCAAGACTCAAAATGTATCATTTAGTGAGCTGTTCCTTAAATGGTTTTATTTACATCCATCATTTAAATGAAGCTGCGTTCAGACACCGTCTAGAGGTCCCAGTAACTAAAACAGCATGTAATCGTCCTAATCTACCATTAAACTTAAGTTTTCTATAAAGTATGTCTTCAGACATAGTCCTTTTAATTTTCATTCAAATCTACAATTTTTTCTCTGCCGGAGTGTCTGGAAATCCCTTCATATAATGCTTAACAACTTTGTGAAGCTTGGGGATTCCAGGGCTATATGAATGACGATGACATCACTCGAAAGCAATTTTAAAAAAGTTTTCAAACCGGCCCTCTTGTAAACAAAAACTATCTTGTTGCCAGATCAGGTGATAAATCACATTTTAAACAGTTTCAAAGCTTTTGAGATGAGAAATTTAAAAATATATTCACTCAAGATTGAAAAACTCTTCTTTGTGACTCAGTTTTACAGCTCAGGTCACAACTGTTTTTTAATTCAAGAAAATCAAATGAAGAATATTAACTTAATTCGGGGAGCTTCCCTTTTCTAAGAAGCTGATGTTGGTATTTGAGCCACCAGACTTTTATTTTGTTTGAAGAAACTTTTTGAAATGTTGCTTCGTATAAAACGAGGCTCAGTTTGGTACAAAGTCGTCAGCAGGTGGGAGTTATCAGCCAGTTTAAGCATGACTGCAATAAACGGTGATGTGGACACTTGGGAACAAAGAGACAAACTAGATCGAAAGTTTTCACCAAATAAACCTGTTAGTAAAAGTTGTTTCTGCCTCGATTCATGTGAACTAACTCTGCTTCATAAAAGACATAAAAAAACAAAGGAGTAAAAACTGTAACGGAGTCTGTGCTCATCAAACCTTCTCAACTAGAAATAAAAACGCTGAAATACCACGTTGCTTCAGTGAACACATGGCATCTTTTACCTTCCTCTGGGTGTGAGACACTGCAGCTCCTTGAAGATACACACGGCGTCTCCTGTGGCCTGGATCACATCTGCTTTAGACAACACGTTCTGGGCAAACGCCTGAAGGAACGGAAACAAAACGACGTTAGAAACTAGATGAACGCACAGAAGCAGGACGACCGTCCCTCCTCACCTCCACGGGGTCCTGCCGTTCATCCGTCTGGCTGGGCGGGACGTAGAACCGCACCTCCATGAGAGAAACCTCCGTGTCGTCGTTCTGGTGAAACTCCAGGGTGACTTCGTTCTTCCCGGTGGCGCACTGGGACACGTTGGACAGAGGGATCTCAAACGCCGAGTTGTCGTTGATGTCGAACGACAACAGCGGCCCTGAAACGAACACGGGGGACGTTTAACTCGTAATTTTCATCAGGTGCTCATCTGACAGTCTGCATACTATTCTCAGGATTGAATGCATTATGTTGGATTTTTACCAGAGAACTTGGCGGTGCCCCAGTTCCAGCCTTTCACACACATGTCCTTCTCTGCCAGCTCCACCTTGTAGTTCGCCTTGAAAAACTCTGAAATCTTCTCCAAGTCCTGATGGAAACGACAACATGGAGGAGAGATAGAAGAGAGAGCTTGTTTTTTTTTTTTGAGTTGGGCATATAGGAAAGAGTAAAAATAAAAAAAGATGGAAACAGAGACTGGTTCATAGTTTGAGGCAGCGAAAGCACCGGCTCTGCACGGGTCAAAGCCCGTAAATAAAAAAGGCCTGAAAAGCAGCAGCAATGGTGGAGAATTAATCAGGACGTGACTGAAACTCTGCCGCCTGGAAGCACAGGAGGTGAACATAATCCATCCGCCCTGCAAACAGGCACAAAATCAGCCTGTTTATTTATCCTGCAGCCCCACGGCTTACACACAGGACACACACACAGCGACAAACACACACACACAGACCTGGTAGTACAAACACATGTGGAAGTGATTGCGATGTGCGAGTGTGTGCCGGGCAGAACGAGACGCTGTGGGAATGTAAATTTACACACCTGGATATTTGCCTGATCAAATCGTTATTAAAGCCAATTAGAACCCAGAGAGTGTGCGTGTGTGTTCATCAGGACGTTTGTTGATCTGAATGGAGGAGTCGCTTTGATGAGACACGTGTGAACAGATGTGAACAAATACAATCAGTCACACACACAGAAAGGCAGGCATGCATGCACACAGTCCGTTCTTCTGTGGTACACTAAAAACACTAAGTTTAATAAGTCTGAATACTTTATCAAACACACACAGAACATGAAAAGTTTCTCTATGTTTGTGTTGCATTGATTTACAAGTACCGGTATAAGAAAACAAAACAAAACCCAATAACGTTAATTTGTTATTCATTTTGAGTCATAGAGCAGGTTTCTTGATTTCTTTAAAAAAATCTGTTCTGTTAACTCGTACAATGAGACTATATCTGGTTAATATTTCAAATAGGCCTGTCACGATAACAAATTTTGCTGGATGATTAATTGTTTCAGAAATTATTGCAATAACAATAACATTGTTTGAAATTTGACAATAATTAGTAACTGTCAAATTTAAGAAGAAATGTTGGTTAATTTTTGTGTGTAGTACCTTTTCTGACCACTGGATGGCAGTATAAAATGGTTTGAACCAAAGGATGGATAGTGAGGGAGTGAGCAGCATGTCTCTAAGAAAAATGGGACGTGAAATGGGCTGTCTCTCGTTCCTGTTTTTCGGTTCTCAAAATGGCGAACACTCGGTGTGGTTTGAGCTCTTTAGCATAGCTAGCTATAGAATAGCATAGCACTGAGCATGCATCAGGATCTTTAGCATAGCATTTGTCACACAAAGTTTTTAATTAAAAAAAAAATCAGTAAACAAGTTCTCAGCTTCTTTTTGCAGAGAAAATCAACTTTTAGACAAAGGCACGAGTTTCAACCATGAATTTTGGAGCTTCGACAAGACGGAGGTTTCTTCCCCGAAGTCGGCTCAGCTTGTAGCTTAGCGTCTCAGCTTAGCTGCTTTTAACGATGCAAAAACGCGATTTTGTATGGTTAAAATGGATTTTAAAGAAAAAGAGAAAGGGAGGGGTCAGTGAAGAGCACCGGAGTTTTTGTCATCCAGTGTCTTCAGTAGAAAGAGAGACACAAAGAAACGATAAAGCCGATAAATGAAAACGAGGTTGATAATTTTCATTTATCATGCGATTTATTTGTTTATTACGACTGTCCTAATTTCAAAGCCAACTTTTGATAACTTTTAGTTTCGACATTCAGCGTGAATAAAGCACTGTAGCAGTTTTTCCCCTTGTAAAACAAAAATAATCAGATTTAGTATTTATCCACGCGTGCAGCTAGCAGTAAAGGTCAAAACTGAATCATTGAGCAGAAAGCATAACTTCAGTTCGTGCTTGTTTGATTTTAAATGACTGTTTTATAGTTCAGTTTTTAGTTTATCAACGCAGTTGTCCAACTTAAGACGATTATTTGAAGCTGAACCAGCTCAACCACATTGAACAGATTAGACGCTCATCAAGGTTTCAGCTAATTGTCATAAAATAAAATATAAAATGATCAGCGAGAACATAAACACTCTTGTGGCTCTGAAACTGCTCCGACGCAGCAACCCTGGACCTTCTGCGCTTGTCAGAAGATCAAACATCTGGATAATTCTGGTGCATCAGTGTGGGATCACGGGAGCCTGGAGACCAGATCAACATCTTGGGGGTGTTTCAGAGGTTTAGTGAAACTGGGGAAACTTGATCTGCAACAACGTTTGAGGAGGATGAACCCAGGTGTTCCCAAACAGAGAAGATGATCGCCGTTCCTGAGAAGTAACCTCCATGGCCTCTCGTTCACGCCCGCATCTCCTGACGACAATTATCTCTCAGCTCAACAGACTCTCTGGCAGAGATTCAAGTCTTCTTCAAGGACAAATTATTAGGACAGATGAATCAAAATCTCTGCTCTGCACGCCAGCGGCTAAACCTGCCAGTTCTCGATTACCGACACTAACTGTGGGATAATAAACAATGACTTCATGGCCTGCACACCAGGACCAGAGGATCCATCTCCCTGCCGAAGAATATGCTGATTAACCCCAGGAGACACACTGCTCAGGTTAAACCCACACGTTCATGCCAGTATTTCATCCGTGTGTTGATACTCTCCTTAAACGAAGGGAACGAACCCTAAAAAAGCGATGAAAACAAACAACCACAAATCTTCTCTTGTCTGTTTTCTGAGCCAAAGTGTTAGCGAGAATTGGTATAAACAGTGAGTCAGAGCAGCCAATGATTGCTCTGTTTATGGAACCAAACGCCGGAGCTGTTTTTCCTCATTAATCCCATTAGTAGGTTTGAGAGTAGCTCTAACCCACACACATTTACAAACACTCAAATGGTACCATTTTAAAAGGGAGTGCTTTTTATGAGAAGTCAGGTTTGGAGTAAAAGATGCTAATTTGCAGCTTTGTTTATTGTAACCTGAGCTTTATTAGACAGTTAGTAAGGCAGAACTCACCGTGTCCCTGAAGCCGTCGTACTTGTAGACGTGACCGGTGCTGGTCCCCAGTTTGATGCCGTGACCCAAACACACTCTTCTCCACTGAGCCAGGCTGAGCTCCCCGGCTGGGATGCTGTCCACCTTCCCCGTCTTGTTGTTCTTATAAACTACGTTTTGTTTGCTGAAACGCAGCCGCCCGTCGTTCTGCAGCGACACAAAAGCGAGACGTGTTAAAGAGCTGGAAGAAGATTTAATTTAAATAGAGGAGAAGATTAGGTCAAGATATAGAACATTTAAAACAACTTAAATTATTAAAGTCTTTTACAAATTGAACGAGGTCAAATATAAAAACATAACGCAACAAGAAATAAATGAAAGACACGCTCGAATACATACTAAACTACACACACATTTTTAATAGATTTATACATTTACTCAAAAGCCCAATCAGCCTTCCAAAAAAATCCTGAATAATCTACGAGCAGCTAAATGTAATGCTCCCACCAGGTTTTCAACACATTTCCCATTTTGAAGATTTGGACTTCGCAGTAGAATTTGTAGTATTGGTACTAGTTGTACCAGTTGTACTGGTTGTAGCAGTATTGGTAGTAGCAGCACTAGTGGTTATTGCTATAGTAGTAGTAGTTGCAGTGGTAGTAGTAATTGTTGTTGCAGTGGTAGTAGTAATTGTTGTTGCAGTGGTAGTAGTAATTGTTGTTGCAGTGGTAGTAGTAATTGTTGTTGCAGTGGTAGCTGTTGCTGAAGCTGCTGAAGCTGTTGTAGCTGCAGTAGTTGTAGTAGAAGTAGTAGTTGCAGTGGTAGTAAATTGCTGTTATTGCAGAGGTTTTAAAACTAGTAGTAGTATCTTGATGCATGCTCAATAATCAATAATAATTTATAACTAGTAGTAGTAGTTGTAGTAGTAAAACTAGTAGTGGTGGTAGTAGTAAAAACAACAGTAGTAGTACATTAGGTTTATTGCCATGTCTGTGAGCTTTACAGCTGCAAAGATCATGGGGGTCTCTCTTCCATCTTTCGTGGACATTTCAACAACGGCTGCATCTGGAAAGCTCTCAGCATTGTGGAGGACCCGTCTCACCCATCACATGGATATTTTACTCTCCTGCTATCTGGGAGAAGGTACTGCAGCATTCGTACCAACACAACCAGACTGTGTAACAGCTTCGTTCCACAAGACATCAGACTCCTCAACTCTGGTCTCTGACACACACAAACTTTGACACACACACACACACACACAACCTAAATGTGCTGTACTGTTTGTGACTTCTTGCACAGTTTTGCAATCTGCTCAAGTTTTGCATTTTTGCACCTTATTCAGTTTATATCTCTGCTGCTATAAAAAAAAAAAAGAAAGAAAAACTTTACGCTACTAACCACATATCAGAACATGTTTCTACCTCATGTACCACCTACACGTGTACTAATCAACATGTGTCTCGAGTCTTAGTCTCTTAATTACTTGTTTAGATTAGAATGTTTAAATTAGGTTAGATGTCGTTTTGCATTTATTATAGGTAGGGGCGTAATGGTACATGTGGGTGCATTGAACCGTTTCGATACGGCACGTTCGGTTCAGTCCATGTGCGTACCGTTTCGGTTATTTTTTCACTCATTAAATTTTATTAACGAGAAATTATGCGTCGCGGAACTAAAGTTTCTAAGCGTGTTTCAGCACGGCGCTATAGTCTTGCAGCACACATAGCACTAGCAGCCTAGCATCTTGTTGCAGTTTCCTGTTTGGGAACATTATGGCTTTCTTATTAAAAGACAAGTGTAAATCCAAAGCTGTGTGTCGACGTTGTTTCACGGAGAGTGGATCGGCAGCAGGCAACACGTCTAACTTGTTAACGCTCTTGAAACAACATCATCCGAATGTGAACGTCTCTTCTACAGAATAACAGCTTGGTTGGTGCAAAGATCAATAACAGCAGCATTTAAACAACCTTTATCAGGTAATTCAGATCGGTCCAAAGCATTAACACAAGCTGGAGGAGTTTTTAAAGCTCTGGATCTACATCCGAATGTTGTTGATGCGCCGGCTTTGAAGTTATTGAGCCCCGCTACGATCCCATCATGTCAACTCCTCTGCCAAAAAGTTGTAGCAGCACTTTATGAAAAAGCTAAAACTGATATTGTCAACAAGCCCCGGAGCAGATTATAGCCCTGCCCTGATGATGACCGAGAGAGTATTCAACCACCTCATAACAAATGATGACCGTTCAAGAAGAGGTATTGTTATTTTATTATTATTATCTATTTAACTTTTTTTTATTTCAAATTATAATTTTATTAACTCTTTTTTTTTTTTACCTCTGTTTTATTTCCAGTCTGGGACAGAGACAGCAGCTGAGTCTTCCTGTTCAGGGAAATCCACCAGAGATCACCTCCAGCTGAGAAGTCTGTGATGAGTGAACTCTGAACTTTTCCAGGGACAGGTGAGAGCAGGTCCAAGAGGTTGTGAGTAATGATGAGGCCAAATGCAGCCACACTGCAAAATTAGCAAAGCTCTACCTCCCTATTCCTGCCACTGTTGTTAGTAAGAGGATTTTCTCCAACGCTGGGATATTCACTGCAACTAGCTAGAGCTGTGCTTTTGGCAGAAAATGTGGACATGTTGTTCTTTTTGGCCAAAAACTTAAAACTTGACTAGCTAGATTGTAAACAGTCTGTTGCTGCTTATTGTTCTGGTTCTGACTGTTATTGTATTTATTAAGATTTTTATTATTGTTAGTATAGTTTATTTATTGTAAAGAGTGCCATTTATTTAAAATCCATCCAAATGGGTTGCTTTTATTTACTTTTATATAAACGTATTTTGTACTTGGCATATTTTCAAAATAAACATTTTGCAAGTCCTCATTTTGGCCTTTTTTGTACCGAAAATTAACCGAACCGAGCCCTCCTTGAAACTGAACCGAACCGAAATGTGATTTTAGCGTACGTTACACCCCTAATTATAGGTCTGTTAGTATTTATTGTTCTGTTGTGTATCTGCACTGTGTGTTGCATTGTTTTTGCATGTAATGTTCTGTGTTGTACCGTGATCCTGGAGGAACATCGTTTTGTTTCAATATGTACTTGTACGTAGCTGAAATGACAATAAAACCTCTCGTGACTGTTTAAGATCCAATGAGCCATTCCTGACCCTTTACTCAGTTTTGTTCAAAGCGTCGGAGTCACTGCAGATGGACCAAAGAGCTGCATGATGCCGAGCCCATCTAAAAGCACAACACATGCTACTTCTAACAATCTGTCACTACAGAAATGTTTTGATTGGAAGCTAGGACAAGCTTGTGATTACAGAATAAGACTCTTTGACAAACAGAAATAAGGTGAAGGTTCTGACCCAGGAGCCTTTAACCTCCTGGTAGATCTCGTTGAACTCCAGCGTATCCCCCATGTTGACTCCAGGCGATGACTGATGCTCTGCAGAGAGAAGAGACTGCATCAAACACAACCAAATAATTCACCAAGTTTAACAGAAACATAAGATTTATTGCCCCTTAACAAGGGAAAGTAACATGCTACAACAGCTACAAGATTACACACACAGGAAAAAAAAACACAATGAATATTGCAAATGAGGTAAACAGAAATTCAACAAAACAACTAGAATTAGTAAAAAAAAAAAAAAAAAGAACACTATTAGCATAAAGTCCACCTATAAAGCCGAGGAAACCAACCACAGGTAGGTAGTAAGTAGAAGGTAGTTAACATTAAAATTGTGAAAGTTTTTATTTCTAGCTCTATAAATTAAATCAAGGCGTTGTTACACTGTTTTCAGTGCTAACAAGCAATGTTCCTTCAATAATAGCTGCTAGGATAGCTGAAAGTGCACATGGTGCGCTTGTTTTAACACACCGTTTAACCGAGTGCACCACGACAAGGCGAAAACAACGTGCATACATGGCACCGCTCCGCTGAGGCACAAAGTGATTTAAATCGAGCGCACTAAAAATAGCTAGGCCGATTTTGGAAAAACAAGTGATAAATTAAGGTTTTTAATGGAAATAAATAAACTTAAAATGACGCTCATATACATCCTCTATCGTTAGCTGATTATATTAACGCACAAACTAATTTCTACCTACACAGGAAAATATAGTTAGAAAACTTGAGGTCTTACAATGACTGAGATGCGCAGCTTCGGCTGTTTCCCGCGTGTAGCATCAGGAGCTAGCGCTACGTCACAGGAAACAACAGCGATTATTTCCGGTTCTGTCGAAGTATTTGTTAATTATATTTTGATTTTATATTTTATTCAAAGTAAAAACTCACCTAGGTATATTAAAACAAAACTGCATTCGTAGCGAACTACGTTTTCGGAAGCTCATCAAGTTGCTACGGAGCATGCGCAGACCTAGAGCGCGCTGCAGTGACAACTGACTACCGCTTGGGGGTGCACAATGCATCTTTCAATTCAATTCTGATGTTTTCATCCTTACTGATAAAAAAAAATCTAATTTTAAAGGATTATAAATTGAATTTAACAACACATAACGAGACTATTTCAGGTTTAAGAATTAAAGTCAAATATATTTATCCAAATCATCATTTATGGACAGATATAAATGTCATAATTTACTAGATAAATCTGGCGCAGTAGTAAGGATCTGGATCAAATTAACCTAACTGCAAGCTTGCCAATGCATTCCTATATTAGATAGTAACATGATCATAATATAAAAGAACGTAAATGTAGATCAAACAGAACTAAACAGAGACTAAGTGTATTCTGTTCCCATCAGGGCCTGAAGGCCAGTCATAAGAAATATGTCAGGTGAGATTGTGCTTCACCCCTGTATACACCCAAATAAACCTCATGTTGTGTTAACAAATAAATAAATAAATAAGGGCTGGAGTTCTGAGTCTCCATTTATTCCAGCCCAGGAGGATTCTCCTGTCAGCCCGAATAAAAAGACCACTTTATTCAAACACTTAAAACAGGATTATATACCAAAAAATAAAAAAAATCTGATGGATTATAGGAGGATTTAAGAAACCAGAGTCCTGGAGGATTAAACTACAGCTGAGGGACGAACATCAGTGGGATTACTGTCTATCAAAATCAAGGGAAATAAGGAAAATTAGGAAATAATCTTGAAGCTATTTATTCCATATTTGTGAAAATAGGAATGAAAAAAAAAAATATATATATATATTTTTAAGCATCCTCTTTGGTCCTAGAAGTTGCTTCCTGGGGCCCATTATGGACCCGGTGTCCTCCTGGCCTGAGGTGAACCGAACCGAACTGGACTCATGACCCCACTTAAAGATCAAACGGTTTCTGTCGGACTGGGTTCGGCCGAGATGAGAGACAGAAATGAGTCGAGACAAGTCTCGAGGTTCCGATGCGTCAAAGCCGGTGAATCACCGAGGAGGAGGAGGAGACAGGGATGGAAAAGAGGAGGAGGAGGTACAAAAAGGGGCTCCACCGTCACTCCGTCTGTCACACAGACCACACACACAAGTCAGAGGAGCCTCAATCAATTTAAACCTCAGGAGGACTCAAATACACATTTCATTTTTTTATTATTATTCTGGGTCCTCCATCTGACCGGGTCAGAACCAGAACATCACCTGCAGGATTTCAGTCCTGAAACAGAGCGGAGGAGCTGAAAAGTTTTCTTTCATCTGAAAACAGAAAAACTGGAGACAATGAGGAGCTTCTGCAGAGGTGAGAACGTGGGTTTAATTTTAATCATCATAACTTCTTGTACTGTAACAGTGTGGATTAAAAAAACATCTCACTCAACCCGTTTGTAAATAATTCCACAACTTCATGTCTATTAAAAGCTTCAATATCTTAATTATCACGACATCACGTTATTTGTGGGTTAAATGTATCGTTTTGGACTAAATGAAAAATAATTAAATCATTGCAATTATCCAATCTAAAACTTTTTTTTTTTTTTAAGAGCTGAAATATAGTGAATTTATTTAATTATACTTGCAGTCAAAACTTTACATACACGCACATTTGTGTGTAATAATTTAAAGGTTTTATATTCTTTAATTTTTTTTTATTTAGGTTGTACGACATACAATTTTACTTTGTTTTTTTACTGATCCAAGCAGAGTCAGGATTATACTCATAAATATAAATATACTGTACTTTCACATTAAAACACGTGAAGGTTGGAGAATGGCTTTTATTTTGACAGGGCCTTTTAACTTCTTAGTGATTGATTGACTGCAGCTGGTCGTTTCTCTTCAGTACTTACTGGATATTAACCCCTCGAAAGGTTTCATTAGAAACAATCAGCTACTCGTTTTTTTTTTTGTTTTGTTGTTTTTATTTCATAATTTTTGTGTTAATAAACACAACCGTTCCAGACAAAATATAAAAATCCTTCAATTTTTATTTTTGATTGTGCCGTATAGAATTGTTTTAAATGCTCCCGTAAACTCCCAGTAACGCTACAACCCTCTAGTATTTCTTAGCAGACAAAATCAACTCTACTGAAAATCATTATAAATACACTTTTGAACTCATATTTATAATGTAAAATTATGCAACCCTTTCAGTTGTTTCCTGTATTGCTATACTTCAGATTTTTGTTTTAGCTCACAAGGTGATGCTCCTCTTTTACGTTTGAGGGCCTCTGTGTGAATCACTGAAGGGGCTGAAACTTACCTGGATGAGGTGTTTCCACCACAGCTGGATGTTGCTGTGGAGTCTCGTCTCATATATATATAT